ATCATCAGGATCCCAATAACACGCAAATGTGCTCTCTAAGCTTGAGCAAATACCATTAATGCCCACTGACGCTCCACGTATACAACTCTCATGACCAAGAAAATCTATAGATATACTCATTTGAAATTTTATATTAATTACGTTGCACTAACATAAAATACAGGTACAAATTGACATGTTCATTTTTTACTAGCTTCACAAACCAAATCATCTTATATTAGAATTAAATTTAAGTTCCTAATTGATTTTCAATAACTAAGTATATATATAAAAAGTATATATCATATGATACAATTAATTACACTATAATAATGAAATGTGTATATATAAGCTTTTATTAATATTAAAATAGTAAGTATTATTAGCATTCATTATTATGTTGAACATACATATCATCTCTTTGAACAGTTTGAAACCCTCCGTCGTGCCCATTGCTAACGTTGTTAAAATGTCCTTTGTGGCATATTGAAATTTTTCGTTACTATCTGTTGCAATCTGTAAATCGTCTCTTAGGCAATTTGATCTCGTCTGTTGTCATCCAACTCCTGATGAACACTTCTAACCTGTTTTTTTATAATGACGTATGAAGTGGACATTTCCATTTCTTAACCCTTCTACTTTTTTATGTATTTTTAAATGGTCGTTTTCCATCTTATTTCTGAACATATTAGTGTCTCTTTTTAATACTTCTACTTCAAGTTTTATTATGGTATTTTCCTATTTCAGTTTCATGATTTTGGAAGCTACTCTTTTGTTTTCATGCTTTGCAATGCATGCTGTCACCTTTGTTAACATGTTGTAATATGATAAATTTAGCTCACTCTTTGTATCAATGTTTTCTTTTTGGATGGTCATCCAATACTTGCGAGGGTTCATCATTATTTCTTGAGCATCAATCTCATCTTCCGACGCTTCTGGAATATTTGTAGGACGGTATTGTGTGGATCATGGTATTGTTTTAAACGAGCAGCATTGACAAGAGATTTTAAAGGTTTGTCATCAGAGCATCTTCGTAGTTTGTAAGTATGGTTTGGTTTACTATCTACTATATAGTAAGGTCCCAGCCATTTCATGCACAATTTTGGTGCTAACCCCTGCTTAAACTTGGAGCAGAATAACCACACCCTATCTTTAACCTTGAAAGATGGCTCCTGAAGATTTCTTGTCATGCTGTCGTATTTGATCTGAGCTTGTCTCATATTCTCCGCAGCTATCTCCCTTGTTATATCGAGGAGTTAAATCTTGCTTTGGATATATTCCTGAGTTGCTCTTGGTAGTGTCTCCTTTGGAATAAGTTGGACATCCATGGGCAGTCTCATTTCTCTACCATGGCATGGCATGGCATGGCAAATGGAGATGAACCAATGGATTGGGTGGCTGGACTTAAACGATAAGCCATCATTACCCCAGGGAGTATTTTGGGCCAATTAGTGTGGTTCTCATCACAATAAGCCCTCGGTGATTGTACAATAAACGAGTTCATTCTTTCACAGGTAGCATTAGTCTGTGGATGATATGGTGTTGTATGAACTCGTGTTTTTTGAAACATTTGAACAAGGCACTGACTAAATTTGACATGAAATTCCTTAGTCTGAACACAATGTTCTTGGAGCACCGTATCTTGAGAATATTTCTCGGATAAGGGCATTAGCTATTTCAGGTGCTTGTTGGGTTTTTAGTGGAATAGCTTCTGGCCACTTGCTTGCACTATCCACTACGAGTAATATATATTGATACCCTTCCGGAGTGCGCGTCACTTGAAGGATGTCCATATGCCATCGACCAAAACTTCTTGTACCGGCAGTGGAGTGAGAGGAACACTTTTAGCATGCACATTTCTCTTTATTTGTTGGCACACTTCGCAGGTTTTGACATATTTGATGACGTCAGCATTTAGCGTGCGCCAATGATATTTCATACAAATAGTTGCGTATAGGCTTTCCTGTCCCTGATGGCATCCTCCAAACATGGAATCGTGATATGATTTTAGAACAGTGTCATAAAGAGTAAGGGACTGCAATCAATTTACGTAATCTATCAGTTTTTTCTTGTCCTCTTTGTTTTAACTGAACATAATAGTAAAGGATGCCCTCTTCTATCTCATATCCCTCTGCTCTGATTCTGATATACCTTGCTATCTTATCCTCATCCGGATGATTGCCAGTTTCTTTAAAGTGAATAAGTAAAGAAACTCTTCCTCCTTTAATGGATTGTCTGATAAAATATCTTATAAAAGGATGAGTATGTGAATAAACTTTTTCTATATTTTCTTTTTCAGTGTGTTTCGGAATCATTCTAGTAGTTTGATACCATTCTTCTTCAACCATTTCTTTATGGTAATTATATAAATAATATCAACCCTTTAAAGATAAAGAAGGAGCCGTTAGATTATTGGAAATGTTCTGAAATACAATTTCTTTCATTGCTTGATTGTATTTTATCAAACAAGCTCCGAGACATAACGTATCTCTTTTAGCGTAATGTTCCCATTCGTGTCTTAAAGATTCTCAATTATCTTCGGTGCATTTAACAATGTCTACATTCATTATTTTTCTTAAATTCATTGGTAAATTGGATGAATTACCCCATGCCGCTAAACTAGATTTTTCATGTTGATAGGAACAAGTGAGACATATGTTTTGTAAATAGTTATTTTCATCAGATATTTTTATCTCTCTTTTCCACTTTTTCTGCAATCTTTCTTCTGTATATGGATTAGATAAAGGAAGAGATAGAATTTTGTTATCTGTTACTAGTGGACATTGTGTTAGTTTATTTGAAGTGCAATCCAGTTGTCAAAACCACTGCCGTTATGGGAAATTAAGGTTATTTTCCTACAATTATTTCTATTTCTTGATTATTTCAGTCATGAGTTTGTTGTAATATTCTTCTGGAATGGGATCAGTTGGCTTTAAATCTGGGAATACTCTTTTAATTAGTTCTAGTTTTTTCCTTAGTTTTTCCAAATTGACTAAAGTACAACAATAAGGAATAGCTTTATTCGTTTCTTTTTCGCTACAGGTTTCGCAATCCCAAGCGAATAAAGTCTCATCATGGGGTTGTGAAATCACGTTTAGTTTTAACTGAGAAAACATGTTACTGCATCATCATCCCCGCAGGTTCTCCATACATTTTCATTGTAATTATCTTCTAATTCTTTAATACCTAAAGCTTTGTTATTTCTTCTTATCAAACAGAAATGTTCTTTGTGTAAATAAAAAACCCAATCTAAGTCATGTTTACATATCTCGGTTGAAAATGACTGTCTTTAGGGTTATAGATTTGAAAATTTGTATTAAATCGATCGTTGAATATCTTAATTCTTCCAACTGCCATCACTCCTTTTCTTTTTGCTTTTTGAAAACTGTTGACGAAATCTTGAAATTCCTTTATTAAGTCTTTATTCATGAAGTGATTTACACACTTTATAAAACAATAACCATCGCTTGGTATGTAACAATTTCATTTATCTTTTTAAGTAGATTACCACCTCTGCCAGTTTTAGATCTTTTTACTATTCTAAAATTATTTTTGTGGAAAATAATCTCTCCTGTAAAATACCAATCAGAGGCGTCAGATTTATCATGCATCTTAGAATGATTAATCTTGAAAGTTTGAGCATTGAATCCAGAAAATCTCATGTCTTGTTTATATTCCCCCTTTTCATATATTTGACCATTTATTTCAATTTGACCTTTAATTTTAAAATCATTAAATAGAATAGTTATTCTCTTGATTAATTCTGAAAAAAGCATATTTGTGGTTGATATTTTAATTTTATTCTCCGCATTTTTAAAAATATCGGTTGTCCTATCAACTATATATTTTAAATTTTTCTTCATCAAATTTACGCGAAAATAAATTAGGTATTGAATTGAATATCTTTGACAAAAGTCTTTTAGATAGTCCTTTGTTTAAATTTCCAATTTTATTTGTTCTTTCGAATCATTAATCTTATTCAGATGAATTTAAAAATTTGGGTTTTCAATAGAGAATGATATAAAAACATATGCATCATCATCTCTTATTGTTGGTATTAAAAAATTTTTTTTTTTGTTGACTTTCATGAATATCAATTGAGGTAAATATATCATTATTAACAAAATATAGTTTTACGTATTCAAAGTGTGTTGCTCGTAAAAACTGATAACTCATATTTCCTTCTTTTTGTGGTTCTGGATTTCTAATAATACTTACTGATGGAAGAGTTTCCGTTTCCAATATCATATCAAAATGAGTAAATGAAAGATCATCTTCTTCATTAACTGGTATGATTAACATTCTAAACCTATCTATATATTTTCCAGTCGTTTTAATTTCATATAAGTCACTATTCCTGGTGTTTTCATTGTTAATTTCAAATTCTTTAATTTCTACATTTTTTGTACCATTGATAAACTGAAGAATTTTGGGCGTTAAATTTTTTATATATATATATATATATATATATATATATAAGTTTTGTTTAAAGAATATTGAATCAACTTTTACCTGAAAAGGAAAAGTTATTTCAATTATAAGTTTTCCTTTGAAAATAAAAGTAGAAAAATCACCAAGAAACATTTCATAGGGATTAACAACACTATGTTTATATACTCTAATATTTACTGTAAATCCATATTTTTTATATTCATAGTCTTTTGATTATCAATATTAGTAGTAAAAGAAGTATTGCTGTCTCTCATCATTTTAAATGGAAGATTGAAATAATATGATTTATTTTCTTGCTTGAGATACTTTTTTTCTAATGCGAGTATATTTTTGTCCTGTTTTAAAACTAGGTTATTAATAGTGGTTATCTGTTGTTGAATAACACTATCATCAATATTTTGTATTTGTTGTTGAATATAGGTTTTAATTTCACTATCATCAATGTTTTGTATTTGTTGTTGAATATAGGTTTTGATTTCGCTATCATCTATGTTTTGTATTTGTTGTTTAATATTTCTTAGTTCTTTTTGTAATTCACTGTTAAGTTTAGTTTCCAGTGCATTTAATTCCTATTGAAACGTATCTTCATTTTCATCTGGAATGTTATCTATTAATTGTTGAATGTCTAATTTTTGTTTTGCATTCTTATCCTCTAATTTAGATATTAATGAAATTAAATTTTGTAACTCAGTTTTGTTCACTACGTTGACCAAACTTATTAAACCTTTTACCTCTTGTTGTAGTTTAGTTTCATTAACAAAATTTTTATTATTTAGTTGACGTTTGAAGAATCTTTTCACATTGCTTATTTTATCTTCTAAATGGTTTTTATTTACTTTAATTGAATTTATTTGTTCCCGTAAAAATTTCTTGTGAACGGCGTCATTATCATTTTCCGGAGATTTTAAATTAGTTACTTTGAAATTGTTCATATCTAAATCACCTTGAAGAGTGTCTCCGATTTGATCCACAAAGTAAGGTTTCGCTTTATTTATCCATGCTGTAGTGTATATTTGTTATAGCATAAAATTTACCTTTCTTATATTTGAGATCTTTATTTCATCTCTCATACAATAATAAAACGGTGTTATATTTAACTCATTCACCCATCTCATAAGTTGAAAGTTTGTGGTTGTATCAGTTCCATATTTATCGAGAAAGATATTCATTTTTAAAAGTCAGTTTTTTGAAGTTCGTTTTCATAAAACCTACCTATGATTTGTTCTTTGTCTTGTCGATTAATTCATATGTCGGAGGTCAACGATGAATATTTCATTTGTCCAGTATCCAACATAACTTTTTTCGAATTTACTTTTATATTTGAAAATACGAACGCGATCTCCAACTTTAAATTTGGGTTTAATATTTAAATTATTTATTTCATTTTCGTAGTTATGTTGTGCGTTAATTGACTTTATAATATTTGGATTATTTGTGGCTTGTGTTGGTGTGACACCTATTGATGAATGAATTTTGTTATTGTATTCATCTACAACCTCTGGTAATATTTTAAGCCATTTTGAGATTTCAATTCTGTGAACTTTTTGAATAATTTATTTTTTAGAGTTCTATTATATCTCTCAATAACTACAGCTTTACCTTCATTATGCATGCAGTAAATTTCAAATCTCAGAGATTTCATATTTTTGTTATAAAATTCAATTCCTTTATCTACCCACAGTTTTTCTGGATGTCGGCTAGATTGTTTCATAATCGTTTCAAATGTGTGTTTGACAGATTTGTTTTTCAAAGGAATAACCCAAGCATATCTCGTATACAAATCTATAACTGTTAAGCAATATTTATATCCTCTATCGACTGGCATATTAATTAAATCGGCTGACCATATTTTATCTTTTTCAAACACTTTAACTTTTAAAAAGTTTTTAGTTTTTCTAAATTCTTTATGAATTTCATCCGCTAATCCCATTCCCAGTTTATCGATTATCATTTGCCTGTCTTCTTCGTGTCTGAAGTTTATGTCTTTGTTTCTGTATAGTATGTAGTGTTTAAGCGCAGCGGCGTCAACTCTAATGACTGGCTCTTTACCCGGTTTGGGTTTATCGTTTTTGTCAAGTCGCAGATCTAACCTGGTACCTGGACCAGTGTAATTATGACCGGGAAGATGTTTTTCTCCGGGATATTTTGCCCATGGAAATCCAGGAAGAGAACCCAATGATTTTTGTATATCTCCTGAACCAAAATAAGTTTTTGGAGCGTGAGCGACAATCATTTTTATCCTATAACTTTAAAACGTTTTCCTTTCCTTTCTTCTAATCTCCTGTTTCGCAAATCTCTTATTAGTTGTAATTCTTTCAACTCGTCAGATTGTTTCATTGCGTCGCTTAAACTCTTTCCCACTTGCGCGATTGAGCCGACGGCTTTCGCTCCGGTTGAAATAAGTGATTTGTTGTTTGAAACAAAGCTAGCTACTTTTGGAATTATTGTTTTACCTAGAGAAAATATTGATGAAAAGATACCGTCGCCCAAATAATCTTCGAATTTGTGTTGTTCGTGTTTTAGAATTAAAGTCATCCTATTTTTAAATGAGTTTATTTAATGAATAAATTGTGGTCTGTTATTGTTCCCCAAAAACAAGAGTTATCTTCCTTCTAGAAGTTTCTAGACTAAAAATAACATTATTTAAAACGAGGTTATTAAAAAACCGGATGTTAAGCGAAACAAGGATGTTATTTTATATAAGGGTATTTTTAATATGCTTTTTTCGTTCAATTTAATGAAATGTAGGGTGAATAGGTTCTTTTTTGGGGTGGGGGTTGATGGAATGTAGGAGTAGGAATTGACTGAAGGTGTTTTTGGTGTAAGAATTTATGAAATGTAGGGTGTTTAGGTGTTTTTTGGTGTAAGAATTTATGAAATGTAGGGTGTTTAGGTCTTTTTGGGACCTTTCAATATGTTCACACTTTCCCCATGGAATGAAATGGTAGTTAAAGAGTCTCCAAATCCATTGCACTTTTTTTTTATTTATGAAACAATATGAAAGGATTGAAGGACAAGAAAGCAGTATAGAATATATATATGGCTTAGTTATTTGCATCGTATCACGACTAAGGGTTATAAATGATCCTTATGACCTGAAGTAAACAAAGTCAGGTACACTTCGTTTTGCAGGCGTGGAAATGTATTGGAGATATTTAAACCTGATCAATCAGATCGGTAGAACAGAAATAAGATCGTGTAAACAAAACACACTGTCGCTTTGCCGTCACCCGATTAAAGAAAATAAGAACACATTTATATCAAAGATATTAAAGGATGTTTGAAATTTTACTACCAATACAGCAGGGGCAATTTTGATCGGACAATATGTATTTTTTTTAGTCTTATATTACCACGGTTTATTAGAACTACAAGAGTTACCTCCCATGTATCATATTATTATTAAAGAATAAATCCTAGACGATAGAGTAAAAGATTTCAAAGATTTAACTGTGGTTGGAGGAAGCATGACGAATGGGGGCGTAGTTTTGACACGATAACTTATGTTTTGGATATTTTGTTGAAGTGTATCTTTTCCAATACAGACTTTATTGAATGAATGAATGAATACAACAATATCACCAGAACATGTATATTTCAGAATAAAGTTAGGCGGGCCAGAATTTTGTTTTTAAGTACAAATCCAGATTTGAAGGAAACTACAAAAGAAAATCCTTAGCGATTCCGAGAAATCGGTAATGTTCATATTCCTATTATCATTCCTAAGTAGATACGCCACACTCATTTCTTTTTTCTCAAATAATGAAGTATAGCCTATATCTCAATTATTCTGTTTACTCATAATGTTTTTATTTTAATGCTTTTTATAGAACTGCACCAAGAATAGTTAGTTACGTTTTATAGCATTGCTAGCTATAGCACTGATTTATATCAAGAGACAATATTTGATTTGGTAGTCAGTGAAAATAAAAATTGAACGCGTTTTCAAAAGCAAGGGCAATAACTCATACTAAATATTTTTCGATTTTTCTGATTTTCAATAGGGTTTATCCTTGGTTGATAACAAACACTCATGCCAAGTTTCATCAAAATCCATCAAGAATTGTGCCTTCTAGAGTGTTTACGAGCTAAATATTGCATTTTCAAGAACAAGGGCAATTACTCATACAAAATATTTTTCGATTCTTCTGATTTTCAATAGGGCTAATCCTTGGGTGATTACGAACACTCATGCCAAGATTCGTTAAAATCTGTCAAGAATTGTGTCTCGTAGAGTGTTTACGAGCAATTGTGGACGGACCGACGGACGGACAGACATGGGTGACGGCAATATACGCCCCCCATTTCATGTGGGCGTTTAAAAAAAGAATGATATAAATATCAAATTATAGTCTATTGTGTATAACCAAAAATGATAGATACTCCAAATTCCCTTTAACCTTAACCGGTAGTTGCTTAGATCAAAGACCTCTCTGATCTTCTGGTAGACAACAAGAATCTGTTGATGGGCGGTAAAAAGAAGGTTTAGAACTGTACGATGATAATCTCCTATGATAACACACCCATATCGCCAAAAATGTACATCGAATGCCGATTTCTCCCTGATGTCAGTTTTTTACAAATTAGAATCGTGTAGGCTAGGCCTATAGGCATTAGGTTGTCGGATGATTGTTGTGAAATGCCAACGACCTCATGATGGAAGGAATTCGGCTTGACATCGTTAAAAAGATCAAATATATCTAAAATATGCCTCACAGCCTAGGGAAAGTGCCACCGTTTGAAGCAATTAACATCGGCTGGCCTATCGGACCGTCATCACATCGGGGTCATAAAAAAGTTGGCTATCGGCATAGAGAGGTTTTGACGATGCTAGTCGGAATCAATAAAAATACGAGAGGTCATTGGCTGTTTTCACTAACGTAACGCCTACAATCCAACTAAATCGCCGCACAGGATATATGTTCGATGTTGGCTGTTAGCCTAAATTGAGTATCAATCTATATTAATCTGTGTGAATGAACCTTTTATCTTTATTAAACTGTATATATATTAGTGCAGACCTGTATTCACTGTCGAAAGAAAACATAAGACTGAAGGATATGGAAATTTGTTACATATGGGCGCCTATGGGTGTGTGACAAACCATAGCGACGAGGATGGGATCCTTCAAAGTAATTTGACAGTGAAAACGGATAAACATTTAATAATTTGATCTCAAATCAACAATCATCGATGTTATTGATGAACCGTGAACTTTTCTGCTTTTATGTGTATCAGTTGACAATTTTATCGAAGCCAAATGTTGAACCACGTTGTCATGGAATTCTAGAACAGTCGTAGGAATAACGTTTCAAAAATGTCTGACTCAGAAACAGAGCAAGACTCCAAACGAACTTGTGGAAATCCTAAAAGTGCAGGGAATGAAAATATTCAGTTATCTGAAGTGATGACAGGTTTACATGAAAACGTTGGTGAGTTGAATAAAGTGACAGGCCTATCTGATACTATTACAAGATTAGCCCTGAGAGATGGTGATAGACCTAATACTAATAGATCCAATTTTACAGACAGTAGAGTAGTGAATAATGCATCAGCTTCAAGTCATAGTACCAATCCTGAATCAAATTCAACAGTTCCAATTTTTAGGGCATTTGAACAACCCAAGTTGCATCGTATTTTACCAAAAGTTGCTTTTTCTGGTTCTACAGATTGTGATGGAATAACTTTGATTCACTTTATCAAGATTTTTGAGGTAGAATGCTGAATTCGTAAAATCTCAAAGACAATTCAGCCAAATAATGTATCATGCAATGCATTGAGCCTGCTAGATCATTTATCCGTTCTGCAGCCAAATATTGGGATTCATGGACACTTTTTCGTGATGAGTTAATAACAATGTTCTGTACAGAGGCAGATAAAGCTCATGCTGCGAAGTCATTGGCCAATATAGAACTTAAGTCAAACGAGAAATTGGACATTCATGGACAAGATTAGGAGTTTGTCATACCAGGTGTTTTCACACGAAATTACATTTGATAGTGAAGGAGGTCTTGTGATGGAACATGCTGAACTTAATCGAAGAATAACTGATAAATTTATCCAGTGTATTACTGATCGTACTTTAAAAGGTGTAATTATATCAGAATTAAATCGTGATCCAAGATTGAGAAAAGATCCAGATTACATTGCTCGTTTTGCAGATCAAACAGCTCAATATTTAAAACCAGAGAGTAAACCTATAGAGGAAAGAAGAAAATCAAGATCTAGTAGAGTCGCTGCTATAGAGCATGACAGAAATCATAGAAGACAGAGAAGATTTTATGAAGATGTTGAACCACAAAATAGAGATGATGTTGACAATAGATATCGTAGACATAGACATGACAAATTTGAGAACCGACAGGACAGATATGAAAATAGACGTAACGAATATAGACATTTTAGTAAGGATAATCATTTTGATAAGAATAAGGACAAAAATGGTTGTCAAGTAAATAGGATTTCAGATTTTAGTGATAAGTCAGAAGAGAAAAGGTTGCAGTGTTTTGGTTGTTCAGGTTATGGGCATTATAAGAATGAATATCCTACTGTTGTAAAGGTATATTTATTCAGACAACAGTTAATAATGTTAAGGTTCCTGGGTTATCAGATACATATATTGTCATTGCAGGTAGAACTTTTAAACATACAGTGATAATTGCAGAGTCTTTGATCTGTGAGTTTATTATAGGTTCTGATTTTATGAGGAAATTTGGTTGTTTAGTAGATTTATGTAGGAATGTATTTATAATTGGTGATTTGGAAACTCCTCTTATAACATTAAAGGGAAGTAGGTTGCCTGGGTTGGGATTATTATTTAAATCTAATTGTAAATCTAAATGGGTTCCTTGGCCGGTGTAGTTATGCCCTGGGAGATGTTTTTCGCCTGAGGAAATCCAGGAAGTTAATTTAGAGATTTTTGAATTACTCCTGAGCCAAACTAAGTGATGGGAGTGTGGAATTCTCTTAACAACATTTTTTATTTGAATATTTTTAATGAATTGATAATAATAAAGTTGTGTTCAGATATCTGCTAGTAGTAGTAATAAATAGTGCTTACAGAGTTACAGGACTACGAAGCGAAGTGGGGTAGTGCTGTAAATCTGTAAGCATTATTACTACTTAATCATATTAAATACTTTCTAAGGTTTTTTTTAAATATCTATGGGTATTTCATTGGGAAATAATTGACAATCTAACCAAATTTTGTCTCAATCTATTAAGAATTGTGCCTTCTAGACCTTTCACAGGTTAAAAATTGAACATATTTTCAAGACCAAGGGGAATAACTTTTCAACTTGTCTGATTTTCAGTAGGGTTTATCCTTAGATGATAGAAAACACTGACACCAAATTTTTATCAAAATCCCTCAATCAAGCTCTCTATTGTGACCACAACACTTTTCAAGAACAAGGGCAATAACTCATAGCAAATATTTTTCGATTAGTCTCATTTTCAATAGGTCATCCTTAGGTGATAACAAGCATTGATACCAAATTTTGTCAAAATCCATTAAGAAACCAGGTCCACAATAAATTGAAGAACAAGGGCAATAACTCATATTCTTAATTATTTCACTCTTAATTTTCGTCAAAATCCATCAAGAAACCAGCTCTCAATCCCGTCCACAACAGACAGATCGACAGACAGAGGCTACGGCTAGGCCTACTTAGTTTTTTCTATAGCAGATTATTTTTTTTTAATGTTTACCCATGTGTCAGTCATGCTGTAGAGTATCCACATTATTTGGATTAACTAAAGATAGCTTGCCAGGCAAGGTAATATATGCCCACTGGCAGCTTTGATTTTGAATAAAAATATTTAGCAGTACAGTAACAATCACCAGTATGAAATATTCAACCTTCAGTCATACACTTCTTTTGAACTCTTTAGGGCGATACTGAACAATATTGAGTATGAGTTATTTCCCTTGTTCTTGAAAATGTGTTCAATTTTTAGCTCGTGAAAACTCTAGAAGGCAAATATTCGATCTTCAGCGCGGGACTGAATAATAAAACCAAGTTTCGTCAAAATCCGTCAAGAATTGTGCCTTCTAGTGTGTTTACGAGCTAAAAATTGAATGCGGTTTCAAGGACAAGGGCAATAACTTATACTTAATATTTTTCGATTCTTCTGATTTTCAATAGGAACACTCACACCAAGTTTTGTCAAAATCCGTCAAGAATTGTGTCTTGTAGAGTGTTTACGAGCAATTGTGGACGGACAGATGGACGGACGGACATGGGTGACGGCAATATACGCCCTCCATTTCATGTGGGCGTATAAAAATGGACCAGTAAAAAACTTTGTGAAATGGTTTGTGTGTCTGAAATAACATTTGGAAAATAAGAAATCAAAATTTCTAACACATACCTGGCAGTATGAATTTGATCCAGTGCAGAATAAATCAGACTCTGATATGCTGTTAGCATGAACGCTTTTCTCTGTAAAATGTATTGAAGCGGTTAGATTGACATCTAAACTTTTACTAGGAAATTTAGACCCTGAAAAATTATAAATGTATATTGTCATTCACAACTTTGTCACTTCTGTTTTTATGTATAATTTGAAATTAAAGAAGGCATAAACAGAAACCACAGCTAATATACCTCACAAGCGAGATTTTTTGTATTGAAAAAATGCCACTGTGGTTTTTAAGGTATTTTTTTCTTACATTCATATATCATTCCTACATCTAAGCATCAAATGACCAATTATCAATAAATATCCCAGATTGATTCCTTACAATCTCATTAAGGCAAAGTAAATATCTATGTTAAATTCTATCTGTTAACGTAAATTCGTATTTTATTTGTTTCGTTTCGAATGTTTCATTAACTATCCTTCTTGACTTTTCATTCTGTTAACCTTCGCTTGACCTCTGTTTTAACCAATAACATGCCCTTTCCAAACGAAACTAATAAAATACAAACAGAAGTTAGGTGTAATTCTAATTAAACTGCATGAGTTAAACTCTTGATTTAACCCAAGCCTGTAGCTAGCCCAAAGTCTGAGGTAGGGGGTCACGCAGTGGTGTCTGCAGAACTTTTGATGTTCAAAAGGGTTGAAGGCGCACTGCCAAAAAATATTTTAAAAAAAGGAAGCAAACACAGATGTTGAGAATCCATTCTTGTTCATGGCTCACAAAGATCTCGAATTTGATTTTAATAGTAGGCAAAAGTGTATTTTAAGTCCACGTGACACATTTTTGATAACACCATCCCGTAGATTCTACTTTCGATTTTACAATAAATTTTACGGTCACCAACTTTGGTGACTATTTGCCCGATTGTGTTGGTTTCTAAAGATGATATTGGACCAACGAAGCCATAAAAAAGCTGAAAGGCTAAACAAATGACGTCTATATATATAATGGCCTTAGCTAAAAATATGCTACTATAGAAAATTAGTGGTTGAAATTATTTCTAGTACCTACTCTGATAGAATCTATCACTACAATTTGAATAAGTAGAGGATGAGAAAATAATAAAGATGAACCTTAGAACAAGCATGAAATAGGACAGTTACGAGGATCGATTGTGTAACATTCGAATGTAATATATTTAATTTCATGCAAGAAATGCCCCAAACAATATTTAGGAGAAACTAAGAATAATTTACGAACTCGCTTTAATGCTCATAGGTCAGACATCAAATTAAAGAAAGACAAGCCTGTTTCTAATCATTTCAACCTCGACGACCATTCAATAGACGATCTCGCCATAATCCCAATTGAGCGTATAGAAATTGACTTGCCCGAAGATGAAACTACCAAATTCCGTCAATCTAGGGAAGCCCATTGGATTGAGACATTGAATACAGCAAGACCTATAGGACTAAATATTCATCATAATGTAGGCATAGTACCCTTTGTTGTCCCGTTTAATACAACCAGCAATCGAGCAAGCAAGATAGTTAATGCCCACTATAAGAGCTTTCAAGAGAAATTCCCCCATGTCTATAAGCAGAAAATGATAGTTGCATATTCAAAAAATAAGAACTTAAATGATGATATTGTTCATAGTAAACTAAAAACAATCAGTACATAACAGATACTATACTTCTAATTTCAGATCAGAATAAGAACAGAAGAAAACCCAATATCAAGACCCTTAATCCTAATTTCTAAATAAAGTGTCTGCTCCACCATAGGCCTGTACATTTGGGAGAATCAAACCCTTCTTTCCCCGAAATCTATCAAAATTAATTTTAATATCTTCACATTTGACAATAAATTTTATAAACAGATATCAGGAACAGCTATGGTCAATTATGCAAATATATTTATGACTTTGGATGAACATGTTTTGGCAACCACTACCAATATAAACCTGATATAAACTTTAGTTTATAGATGACATTTGGGCATTAACTTGATCATCAATGGATGACTGCAATTATTTCTGAACAATTTAAATCGACAACATCCTATCAAATTCACCATGAATCCTCATGAAAAATCTGCACCATTCTTAGATGTTAATGTTATTAAAGAAAGAGAAAGACTTTAAGCCAATATATTTAGTAAACCAACAGACAGTCATCATTACCTTCCACCTACTAGGTGCCGTCCAAAACATACTTTCAAATCAATCCCTTACAGTGAAGCTCTCCGCATAAATGATGCTGGATGAATGTTAACAAATGAATCTGGAAGTTCTAGTACATCTAGTCTCTTTTTTGAAGCAAATCTCTCTCCTCACCTTCATTGTCTGGAGTTAGATGTTGAAATACAGAAATGCTAGTGCCATGAAAAGACTTTGTAGCTGTTATTGTTGGGTTGTGGTCTATGTTATCCATGGCTGATGTAGAGAACAGTCCATGACTCAATATAGATGGACAAACTACACCATCCTCTACTGACAGCTGCATCTCCTAGTTGAGCTGATATTCCTAAGACTCCATGTTCATGAAGCATTTCTCTTTTGTTTTAGCAAAGACAAATATACCCATGTACACAGGAAACAGAGTTTCTCGATCCTTGGAATGCCTATGTGTAGCTCTTCCTTTGTACCTTGCGTAACAGTTGTATTGCAGCATTTGCGCTATTGCTAGGTCGGTTTTTGATGTTCAAAACCTAAGCTTGGACTTAATGTCATGCCCATGCTTTATCATGCTAACAAACTGTAGAATTGTGGATGGTATGGACTTTTTGTGTATCTATTTGTGAAGATGTTCTTTTTTTTGTTCAAGCTTGCTGTTGTTGACCTTCCGGCACTACTTCACTTATGTACCTCTTTATGATCTCAATTTTGTTATCCACTAAAACACGACAGGATGGTGAGTATTCTCACCAAATTTCATCGCAATCGGATAATTTTTTCTGCTTTAAATCAATTTTTTTGTTCTTCAAAATATTGCACTCTTCATAGAAGATATTCGAATGCCGATAAAAGGGAAACTTAAAAAAGTTAACTGAAAGACGGCCAAGGGTAAACTTCCGAGACGATTCATAACAAAACAAACATACATAAGACCATTTCTGAGACATTATATAATGTCGCAGCATGATACTTCTTACGAATTGAATATTTGTTTCGAACAATTTGGTCGTTTCGTACCATTTCTACAAAATTTCATGAATACTGTAAAGTATTTTATGATTGGAACTGTTTCATTTATTAATACTGTGACCCACAAACATAGAGAATGTCTCCCGAGGACTATGAGCCATCCCAGTGACACATATTGCCAGAAACAGGCTTTCAAAACCACAATATATCGTTTACAAAGCAATTTGTACACTTCAGTATTATACCTCTACCGGAAGTGACGTTTAGAATTGTTTCAACTATTGGCATTATAACCACCTGATTGACCTACATGTCCAACAGCGGGCGTTCAAACCAAACATGTGACTAAATCGTGTATAAAAGCCAAATTGCTTACACTTCGGTAAAAAACCACTACCAGAAGTGATGGTCATAATTGCCTCATTTTTTAGTAATGTTTATCTCAGACTTTGACATTGAGCCTCATGGACTATCAGTCACCTCAATGACCCATATGTCCAGCAACAGACCTTCAAACCTATCGCTATATCGTGTACATAAGCCAAATTTCACTCACTTCAGTATTATACCTATACCGGAAGTGATGATTAGAATTGTTTCATCTTTGGTAATGTAACCCCTAGACATCGACAATGACTCTCTGGGACTATGAGTCAGCTCAGTGACCCACATGTCATGGGTTATAATGCCAAGAGTTAAAACAATTCTGACATCACTTCTGGTAATACTGAAGTGTGAGGTACTTTACAGTATTCATAGAATTTTGTAGAAACGGTACAAAACGTCCAAACTGTTCAAACAAATATTCAATACGTAAAAAGAAAAAGATAGCTTGCCAGCTTTGATTTAGCAGTACAGTAACAATCACCAGTATGAAATATTCAACCTTCAGTCATACACTTCTCCTGAACTCTTTAGGGCGATACTGAATAATATTGAGTATGAGTTATTGCCCTTGTTCTTGAAAACGTATTCAATTTTTAGCTCGTGAAAACGTCTCCTCTATTCCATCTCCATCATCTAACTTTGTTGGATCCAACACAATTGGCATGATTTAATGGGACATTTCATGATCTGTGTTATATGGTGTCTGGAAATTTCAATTTTTCATTTCTTGTAACCTGACAAAGACAGCATATATTCCAATCAGTAATCTCTTTGAAAGAGTGAAAATAATAATAACTAGAGCCACACGTGGCACAGAGTGGGACTTGTAGCAATTTGCTAAAGACCCTGAAAAAATCAACCTTCGATGACAATTGCAAGGACAGTTTAAAGTTGAGAAATTTTCATTTTTTAGAAGATTCTAATACCGGAAGTAGACGCCAGACCTCACAAATGAAAGTTTCATCAGATAGCCAAGGTCAATGACCTTTGATCTTGTAAAGGAGAATGTCTAAAAAGGGCAAGTTCACGAGATATAAGTCATCAAAATTTCAAACTGTACACGGCTATAAAACTGGAAGTGGACATAGGACAGCAAATATAAAAGTATGAATAGATAGCCAATGCCAGTGACGTTTGATCCTACAAGGTCAAGTTCAACAAAGGTCAAGGTCAAAAATTGAAATTGTGAATTTCCAAAACCTGTTCCTTTTTTAGAACTATGAAGCTGAAAAAATCGAACTTTTAAGACAAAGTGGCTCAAAGGATGATGTAATTGTATGCAAAGATTCATTTTAAACAAATGTATTGTTTGTGAGTTATACCCCTGGCCAAAAATGTCAATAATGAAAAATCTAACCCGGATGTGCCACGCCCACCCCATTTTTTTGGCATAAGTTAATAGATATTCTTAATATTATATTGTGTTCCAAATTTAAAGCTTCTACATCATTCAGGTCAAAAGATATAGGTCAACAAAAGTCAATAAAGGTCAAAATCGAAAATTGAAAGTATGGAAATTTTTTGGAACTATAAAACTGAAACAACTGAGCTATTAACACAAACTGGCAGAAATGAGGAGGCAATTGAGTGCAAAGTTCCTTTTTGAACAAACGTGTCTTATGCGAGTTATGCCCCTTTCCCAAAATGTAAACAATTAGTAATTCAACCCGGATGTGCCACGCCCACATCAATTTTTTTGTCATAGGTGTATTCCTATTCATAATGTCTAGTTGTGTTTTAATTTTCAAGCTTCTACATCAAATAGATCATAAGATATACATACACCAAGCTCAAAGAGACACATATATTATAAAAAAAAAACTCAAATCTGAAAAAAATCACGAGTTTCAATTTTGCTTTAAAAAAAACGATTGTTATATATCAATGTAAAGAGCATGAGAGGCACTAATTATGTCACGTGCTACAGCAGTCCAAAGTTGCGAATTTGGCTTTTTACGGACAGCTATAAAACCGGAAGTTCAGGTCGGGGTATCAACTGATAGCCAAGGTCAATGACCTTTGACCCTATAAAGGTCATCAAAGGCCAAGGTCACGTGGTATTAGCGTTTAAAGTTTGAAAAAAATTCAAACAGGTTGCAAAAAAGCAAAAGCGAAATTCAAAATTCGGCTCATAACGTTTTTTGAACAACCGATTGCAGAATACATTCACATCAAATTTGAGCATATCAACATTTACCGTGAGGCTCCATTTTGAGTTTAACGAAAGTGTGTTTTTTCAATATGGCGGCCGAAGTATCACTTCCGGTCTGGATTTTATTTTAAAATCGGCCATAGAATTTTATCATGATCTTTGTAGATGCATTTTATATGGTAATCCTACGGAAACTTTTCTGTGTTCCAACAGACCGAATAAAGGATATAACTTCCAATTTACGTAATTACCCCACCTATTATTTTCAACAACATTATTGTACTGAAGTACTCGTTTTTCAAATCCGTGATTACCAGCTCGTTCTACTCTTTCTATTGTGTTTCGAGCAATAGCTCTCATTCTAGCTTCAACTGCATCATTTGGAACATTTCTTACCGGTTCTATTAAAACACGCCCATCGCCAACATCGGGTATCCAGTCTGAGACTGAATCGTAGATTTGGGATATAGAACTGTTTCCAACATTGTGTCAAATTCCCCAGGGTGTTTAATGGTATCTAAGGGATTTGAACCAGCTTCCAAAGACATTTCAGTAAATAAAGATGGAAGAAATTGTTTTCTAACGTTGTGTTGGTTTGTGGTACACGATTCTCATTGGGAGTTCTGTCTTTGATTTTGAAATCGCATCTGAAATACGCATCAGACAGAAGCAACCAATTCGATAATGAATTAATCTCGAAAGTGACCCTACCCTCATCATTTTGTTGAGACCTAGAGCCAACGGTTGGAGATATGATAATGTAATCCTCTTTTTTCTTATTTAACGAATAACGAATTGGATCATATAATTGAAAGATCGGATCTAATCTGTAATTTTTTTCTGCCATTTTTAAAGATAGGTTTTACCCTATTATTTGAAACCATTTACCCCCATGGAAATGCAGGAAGAATAACAAAAAAACCAAAGTAAGTTTTAATAAATAAAAGGAAATTTAAAACAAACAATTACATGTATATTGATATACACTTCTACTAGATATACTTCAGAGTTATCTCCCCTCTTACACTATTGGTAGTCATAGTTCAAGGGGTTACGACCGCTCCTATAGAATAGCTAGATATACTTCAGAGTTATCTCCCCTCTTACACTATTGCCAGTCATAGTTCAAGGGTCAAGGGGTTACGACTGCTCCTATAGAATCGCTAGATATACTTCAGAGTTATCTCCCCTCTTACACTATTATCAGTCATAGTTCAACAGTCAAGGGGTTACGACCACTCCTATAGAATAGCTAGATATACATCAGAGTTATCTTCCCTCTCATACTATTGCCAGTCATAGTTCAAGGGTCAAGGGGTTACGACCGCTCCTAAAGAATCGCTAGATATCCGTCACATATTTTATCCTTTTCCAAAACGCTTGTTCTTCAGCACTTGTTCTTCAGCACTTGTTCTATTATGAAACCTCGGATATTTGTCACAGAGTTTGGTAGTATCCCCCAATACTCTTCGTGATATGAAATATTAAACTTGTGTCTGGAATAGAACAAAATTGATATTTTGAAAAACAACAAATAACATATCATCTTAATTCCACCCTCTAGTCTTATGATTAAATCAAACAAAGAACATACCTTGATTTTGTATGATTAAATTCCTATTCTTCCAGCGTAACAAAATTGAGACAGTGTTAATAGTTGAGAGTTTAGTCTGTCTATGCCGACGTGGCATGGGCGGAATGTTATATGTTAATATAACCATCTGTTACTTAGTGACGTATATCCAGTCAACAATAGTCTAGACGACTGATTGTTACCGGGCGTTAAAGGTAATTATTAAATCAATAATACTCTAGAAAACTAACCGTGTATAAACTGGTTGGTATTTTACTTTGAAGTAAACAAACAACAGTGTTACCTCCCATTAATCAGTTAAAAAATGTTTGTTTTTTCTAAATTCTTTGTGTATTTCATCTACTATTCCCAAACCCATTTTCATCTTTGCTTTCAAGAGTTTAATGATTAATGCTCTTTGCATTCTCTCTTTGAAAGTTGGATTTGGAATATTCGATTATCATTTGTTTGTCTGCTTCATGTCTGAAATTTATGTCTTTATTTCTGTATAATATACCATGTTTAGGTGCAGAGGCATCAACTCTATTGACGGGTTCTTCACCTGGTTTTGGTTTAACATTTTGGTCTAATCGCAGATCTAACCTTGTACCTGGACCAGTATAATAATCACCGGGGAGATGTTTTTCTCCAGGGTATTTTGCCCAAGGAAATCCGGGAAGAGAACCTAATGATTTTTGAATGTCAGAACCAAAGTATGTTTTAGGAGTTTGAGCAATTATCATTGACATTGTTATCCAATAATTTTAAAACCATTGCCTTTTTTGTTTTCTAATCTTTTATTTCGCATTTCTCTTATACGTTGTAATTCTTTCAACTCATTTGATCTTTTCACTGCTTTGCTTATATTTACTCCTGCTTTTGCTACAGATCCAAGACCTTGGGCTTCTGAGGGATTTGTTGTTTGAGACAAAGTTGGCTACTTTTGGGATGAGAGATGATAGAGCTGAGAAGAAACCGTCTCCTTCGAATTTGTATTGTTCGTGTTTTAAAATTAAACTCATTCTGTTTTTAAATGAGTTAATTTGAAGATATTGTAGGCGTTGGGCGCTTGGGGGTTGGTAAACGGGTACCACTATAGGGTCCGGATTTATTAACCGCGTGCCTGGTGGGCTTGTTTGTTTGGTGGGCTTGGGGGCGCCGCAGGCAAAAGAGTATATAGAAAGGAGGCACTTTTTATAATTTTTTTCTTAAAAATTATACAAAGTGCCCCTTATATATATATATACTCTTATACTACTGGTGGAATGGGGTGGGACTTGATAAATTGGCATAGGTAATTGTTGGGGTAAAGGAGCATAATTATGATTAAATGGTGGTACATTCTGATAGTTCACATGTTAGAATTTACACTATAACCATATAATTCACCCATCTGTGCTGCATGTAAATCAGAAAGTAAGGTATTCGGATTTCTAGCTCTAACAAAAAATGACAAATTAGGAGGTAAACTGTCAATAAATTTAGAAATAAAATCAAATTCCGTCTTCTTCAGCTTGGATCCCTTTTCCAATATCAGAGAATGAAGAATTTTGGGTAAAAGAGTAATGTTATTGAATGCAACATTTTCAGCAAGCTTCATGTTGTCACTGTCACTGGAAAATCTACTCATAAAAGCCCTCATAAAATTCCGCCAGTCGGTTTTCGAGGAATCTTCTAAATATAAGGACCATTTTGCTGCAGGGCCTTTCAAACACAGATGGAAAGCAGCAATCTTTCGGGAGTCTGATTTGATGCCGTCTAATGTTGCACTTGAATTAAATTCTGCAAGGAATTGGTCGACTTTTGAACAATCAATACCATCAAACTTTGATATACGAAGGGTAACATTACACGCGGCTGCTACAGACAGTAGGCAAATGTATGTAGTTGTCAATAATCAATTCACACCGAGGGGTAGGCTGGGGCAACCCAATACTATCGAAACATGTAAAAATCATCAAAAAGACTTGGACGACACGGAGGCGTTTGAAAACCATCATAGAGGTCTTTCACTTTAGAAGTCATATTTATATTAATGGCCATCGTGATGAGCCCAACTTCAGCTTTACTTGTGGTGAAGGCACAGAAAAATAATAATTTCAATAAAAAAACAGACAAACCACATGAAAATGGTTGCGACAGTCCAAATTCACAATAAAAACAATTCTGATAATGTTTTAGCAACTCCACCATGTGATGTGAAAGGGTTTCAGCCTGGGGTTTCCTTCATAAAAAGTCCAACTTCGCTTCACAAACTTTTAATAGTCAAACATCAGATTTTCGGAAAAACACGCACTTACACAATACCCCTCTAGGGAACAATTGACAATTGCCTAAGCAGGCGTGATTATCCAGTCATAAATGGAAATGGGAGGGTCTAATACTTCAAATGGAACATAACAGTGAGAGCTGTTTGGCAAGAACTATTAGATCTAAACCCAGACTGTTGTGAATAAAGTAATTGGTTATCGTTTAAAATATTTATAGTATGTTTTGAATAGTATCTTCAAGCGGTTTAGATACACTAGATATAACAGAAATGGGTCTATAATTATTGGGATCAGACTTAGCGCCAGATTTATACAGTGGCACACTTTTGCTTCTTTAAAATTATCAGGAAATATATTTACATCGACGCAAAGTATATCTATTTGAGTCAAAGGACCAATTAACGTATAAGCACCACATTTAAGAAATAAAGGATTTAATTTATCTGAACCAACACTTTTAACTGCATTTTGCGAAAATACCTGTTTAAAAACTTCATATTTGTTAATGCGGGGAATCAAACATTCGTCACTTGAAATTTACTTGAAAGTAACAAATTCCTCAGTTTTATATGTGACAGTGAGGGATAAACTTAAGCCTTGGCTTGTTTCCGAAACCTATTTACACTATTTAAAAATTATATGTATACCCGGTAATAGAAATAAAATACTGTTTAAACCAATATAGGTTACACCACTGTATATCTCTTACAAATGGAAAATAATTTAGAGTAACTTCACTTAAATTATTTAGCCTATCTTTCATTGACGATTTTGTAATGTATTATACAGTGGTGTAACCTATTTTAGTGCATATAAGGATTCAACACCAAATTTCGTCAAAGTTTAAAGAACGAAATTGAAACTACTGGATTCATTCTACTAGCTGATATTGTAGAGATAACACATGTTTATCAAAACAAGCACATGCAGAGGTCGCAAAAGTAAATTATTAATCATTTGCGGAAATGCACGAAAAATAGGTTAGCACGAAATTAGGTTACTTGACTGTATTATATAAGTTTTATTGTTTTGTCAAACCACACGAAATAGTAGTGCACAAAGCACCAAAAAGTCTGTAATTTATAATGAACAGATAGTTCAAAAGGTAGAAATATTGTTGTATAGTTGAATTATATTAATCAATGACTTCATGAATTGACAAAGATAGCCTGCCAGGCAAGGTAACATACGCCCACCGGAAGCTGTCAGAAATGATACAACAGTCTGTAGTGACTAAAGTATGAATTTTCTCATAATAAAGAAATTTTGGTAGTTTGAATTCAATGATATATATATTTACTGCCAGTTATTTATACCGAGAAATTCCGCCAAATTTTTTAAAATCAATATCAATAACCCAAATACATCAAATTATAGCATCAATATACATGATCACACCATGTTTCATTAAAATTAATTGAAAACTGTAGTTTCTGATGTGTTCACAAACAAATTTTGACGCATTTTTTTTTAAGTCAAGGGCAATAACTCAAAGACTGTTTATCAAAATATCATCAAGTTGATGAACTTGTCCAAGATCTCATCAATATAAATAATCACACCAAATTTCATTAAATCAGTTGAAAACTGTAGTCTCTATTGTGTTCACAAAGAAATTTTGACGCGTTTTTCAAGTCAAGGGCAAAAACAGTTCATCGAAAGATCGTCAACTTCGAACTTGACCAAGATTGCATTAATATAAATGATCACACCAAATTTCATTAAAATCAGTTAAAAACTGTAGTCCTTTATTGTGTTCACAAAAAAATTTTGACACGTTTTTCCTAAGTCAAGGGCAATAACTCAAAAACCGTTCATCGAAAGATCGTTAAATTTGAACTTGACCAAGATCTCATCAATATAAATGATCACACCAAATTTCATTAAAATCAGTTATAAACTGTAGTCTCTATTGTGTTCACAAGAAATGTTGACGGAACAACGGACTGAAGGACAGGGGCGATGGCAATATACGTCCACATTTCCATGTGGGCATATAACAATCCATTTTTGACATAAATTTTATCATTTTTTTAACAACAAGGATTCATGTTATGACATTATGTGTATTTTGGTACCTCCTTCTCGGCCATTTTGAAAAAATAGCCGCTATCTCGAATTTTTCAGTGGCTTGTGTTCTCGGTGTTTTTATTATAAATGACCTTTGCAGATCATTCATACCAACTTTCATGCTTGCATCACAAAGTGAACTGGTACATGTATTTATGCACTTACATTATACATAACAGCAGTATGGTGGCCTATGAGGGCAGGAGTGTTTTTTCATAAAATAAACTGTATTTCCTTAAAATTAACAATCGAAATTCAATTCAGTTAATTTTATATTTCATTTTACTTTACATTTAATTTTATTTAACATTTCATTTTACTTTAAATTTCATTTCACTTTACATTTCATTTTACTTTACATATCATTTTACTTTATATTTCATTTGACTTTAAATTACAATTTCTTTTTCATTTGATTTCTTATTTGTTTATTTTTTTATATTTTTTTTACTTTTCAATTCAAATGTAAATGAAAAAAAAAACCTCATAGCAGCCTATGAAGGCAGTAGTGTCGTGGTCATCCAGTACCTTTTCTACTGTTAATGTAGTCTTTATCACCCAGACGTCTGCAATATGTGTCTGAGAGTTGTTTCCCTTTAATAACAATGATTCAATATGGCAGCCCCCATAGCCCAAATATCCATTGAAGTAATAATGGCCTCAAATTCGGGTAAACTTATTAGAAATGATAATTGGAAGAATGACGAAACCTTAAAAAAAGACTTGGAAAGTTATGTAAAGAGAGATTTTAAGAGAATTGAGATTCTAGACTTTTTGAGGGAAAATTATTCGCAATATTTATGGAGTTTGAGAACGTTAGGTGTAAGATTGGGCTACTTTGAAATAAAGTACACCGATTACAATGTACCAATAGAAGAGGTAGAAAGAGCAGTGAGGAGAGAATTAAGTGGTCCTGGATAGCTTCTAGGATATCGAGCTGTTCACAGAAAAATTAGGGAGCTGCATGGGTTGAAGGTTCCTAGAGACCTAGTGTATGATATGATGGAGTCTATCGATCCTGATGGATTAAGGAGGAGATCTTGTGTTGGAAAGAGAAAGCATAAAGAAGGAAACCCAAAATTTAAAGCTGAAGTAAGCTCTTTGATTTAATTCCATATATTTTTCAATAATTATGAAATGCATAGGCTAATCTATAATAGTGACTAAGTTTGATATTTGGGGCCATTTTGACCTCGGGCATTATTAATACAAGTAATTCTGTACACCATGATGCTCAACTGAAACATACTTAACTTTCAGCAGCATGTATCAATATTTTTTTCAGTCTAGAGTCTGAGATGTGATATAAAATCTAATATCGTCAAAATTCTTTTATATCTGCTTTATATGGTTGAAAAAACCATTAATTTTATGTATTTGTCATCATTGATGAAATATATTTGAATAGAAATATTAACAATGCACTTGAGGAATTCCTTTGTAGTCAAGTATATACGAGATGACTTTGTCTTTTATTTCAGGGTTCAGATTTCACATTATTATTGGACGGTCACGACAAACTATGTGATTATCAAAAATCAACCTTTCCCTTGTGTGTATATGGTGCACAAGACACATACAGTGGTAGGATAAATTTTCTTCGCATTTGGAGTTCTAATAACAACCCAAAAGTAATTGTACGCTTCTATTTTGAGTACTTAATGGAATTCAAAAGTACGAAACTTTTTTTTTTTTCATTCATCCTTTGTATTTTCCGAATGGGCTGAAGGAATATGTCCTCGTTTATTGGACCCAATTCTGATTTCAAAAGTTTCAACCTCACAAAATGAAGATTGGTGAGAAAAACTTCAATTTATAAAATTATTGATTATAGTTTATAATGCAACATTTAAAAAAAAACCATTATGCCATATAACAGAAGGTTCATAGTGGAATATAAATCGGAATTTTATGTATAACTGAACAAGTTGTGCTGCTGTTTAGACTTACATCTTCTTTTCAGAGCTTCCTGTGAGGATTCGTGTTGATAGGGGTACAGAAACAGATGTTATGACATGGCATTGTTATTTACTAAATAAATGTACTGAACATGAAGATCCAACCAACAATATTGTGTATGGGCCATCTACCCAAAATAAGATTGAACGTTGGTGGCGTGAATTGCATCATAGATTGGAGATATATTTTAAAGAACAATTACATCAGCTCCTAGAAAGTGGCTCCTATGATCCTGGAAATGAAGTTGACAGGTATGTTATTTGAATTTATATACTGCATGGACATTATGGAAGGCAAAGTCTGCTAATATTTGACATTCTTGTTTCAACATTTGAAGCATGTAATTGAAATAAATATGAGTTACCGGTACTCAAAATTTGTTAGAAGTATTAGAAATTTTGTATTTAGTCTTCCTTGAGCAAGCTTTATTTGGTTAGAAGGAACAGATGGAACATAAATGGTTTTATGTATTAAAGTCTTTTTTAATTGTATTTAACCGTTATTATGTGGTGGTATATTGCCATCACCCCTTTCTGTCTGGCTTGTGAACACAATAGATACTACAGTTTTCAACTGATTTTAATGAAATTTGTTGTGATTATTTAAATTAATAAGATCTTGGTATAGCTCTAGTTTGAGGTTTTTTTGATGAACAGTTTTGGGTCCTAGACCTTATTCACGCGTCTTATTGAATCCAGAACGAGGTTCGTGACACTAACAAAAAAAGGTAACAGCGTTTCATTGCAGTAAAATAGCTACCTACTCAAAATTAATCCCATTTTACATCATTAAAATCAGAATTGATTAAGCCTTTTAATGATGATTTCAAATGAAGTGTATCCTCACACATTTCTGAGAAAGCCCATTTTCTCGCTGTTGATCAGGTGTTCAGTGACATCAAATAGACTACTCATTCAAATGACGTCACCATCTTATCAATGGATGACGTAATTTGTGTTATGAACCTCTCACAAACGAGGCGTGAATAAGGTGTATTGTCCAAGACTTGGTAAAAACGCATCAAAATTTGTTTGTGAACATAATGGAGACTATAGTTTTAGTGAAATATCGATGAGATCTTGGTCAAGTTCTAGTTTGAATTATTTTGATGAATTTCCGTTTTTTCAGTAATTGCCTTTGATTAAGAGACAATGATAGACTTAAATCATGTCTAATGTGGATTGTGAACGCGATAGATGTGGCAGTTTATGTTAGAATTTAGAATTTTTGTGTAAGTTAGATTTTTGGTGTGATTGGCGACCGCCCTTGATATACCGAAAATGTATCAGGAAAGTGGGCGTATCTTGCTAGGCAGCTACTTGTTAATTAACCTGTGTCCTGGTATGGTCTCAATAACAAAACCTTATTAGAATTTTGTTTGTATTTTAGGAAACTTCTATCATTTGTTTTTATTCCTGTAATTCAGAAAGAGCTTGACATCTTTCGTCAAACAGTTATGAATAACCACAGAGGAAGAAAAAATAGAAACAAGGATCTGCCTTGTGGAATTCCAGAACACATTTATTTATACCCAGAACAATATGGAGGACAAAAGTGTCACATTGAGTTGTCAGATGATTTGCTTCTTGAGGCACTTAAACTGTCAGAACTTACAGATGCGGAGGAAGTTGTTGATTATATCACCAAGGATTTTCGAGCTCGGTGTGAGCTTGTGTTAAACATTACACAGGTGGAAGCTAATGAGGCTTCACAAGCATTTCTGTATTTGAAACAAATTTTTAATATAATATCAATGTCCTCTATTGTTTAACATTTCACGATGTTCCACATTTTAAATGATTAAAATTGAATTTTTTGACACATTTGATAACCATATGGAATTGTTCACCTTATGTCACCTTCCACATTCCCATGGCAGTAACACGAGGTGCATACCCAAGCAACACATCTCACCCCCACTTCCCCAAGTCATCAAATGTATATGCCCAAACAGCAGCAAATAAAAAAATGCCGCTATTTTGCAACACCTGCAAAAGAAAAAGACTTTTAAATTTAAGAGAAAGATTTAATAAGAATTGAAACACAACAAAGAATACATATCATTACTTGATGATCAGAATAAAATTATATTAAAGTGATAGTAAAGAGGTTTTCTGACCATTCTAGCTTCTATTTTCACTATTCCAATTTCCCCTCCCAAGTCTTTGGTTCCTGTAATTCCAGATTATGACCTTGATATCACAAAAACGTCTAAGAGTGTCTGGGATAGTGACATCACAATCTCGTTTTTTTTTAACTACAGCTTCAACAATACGCCAACCCACCAGCAACAGCTTTAGATGATCAAATGCACTGATTGGATACAACTTTGACCAAAACGAGCGAACGCCAACAAAGTATACACCTTAACCAGTAGCAAATTTCATGGGAACATTAGTTTATGAAATGCAATAATTTGATACATTTCCACAAACACACATGTAATAAATAAGTTCTAAGACAATATTTTTTGCACCATATTGTATATGAGTATAAAAATAAAAATGTGTATCATTACCTAATGATCAGTTTCTTAGAGCCTGTTTATATGTACGCGTTTAAAAATCAAGTGTCAACTTCTTATATCAAATAAATCACAATATGAATTGCATTCATGATTACATAAAAAATTGTCAATGGCACAAACAGAGAGGTTACCAACTGCATATAGGAATTCATGCTGGTCACTCTTGAGTTTTCTTGAAGCAATCTCTGGATCACAAAATTTATACCCACATCCTTGAATGTCCAATACCATAAGTTCTTTTTCGGATTTCACATAAAAATAATGTACCAAACTCTCAGATTTCAGAGAAATAGTTACTCTATCAGATTCATTTATTGTTCCATCATTGTTAATGTATTTCACAAATTCACCATCAATAAACTCCTCCACAGTTACAAATGATCCATTAAGTCTACCCAAATATATGTCATTATATTCAAATGTTTCACCAAACATTTCCAATTCATCATTTACTTCTTATTATCTCTTCATGCAATTAGTCAGATTTTTGGCCAGTTGGTGCATCTGAACAACCTTCTTCGTGTGTTTTTCAAGGGTTTGATTCATAGATGCAATTGTAGTTACGGCATCTTGTTGATATTTCTTAATTACCCAGGATTTCCCTGCAAATTCTTTGCTGATACTCTGTGCCTTAAAAGCATCCCGAAATCCTCCGGAGCTGATTTTGCTAATTTTAAATTCAAAACTTTTCAGTTGCATCCAACACATATTATCGATGTCGAATTCATATATATCCAATAATTGAACAGTATTATCAATTAATGTTCCTAATTTTAGCATCTCAATCACAGATAAACTTTTTGGGATGAACTGGGTTTTTTTTGCTGTGACTGTGAGGTCTGTTAGGGATGTAACTTTAACAGTGCTTGTGCAACTATTCTTATTATTTGTTTTTATTTTCTTCTTGGGTGGTGACTTCAACTGTTCCTTACAATCATCTTGTCCTTCAACAAATCTGACATAAATGACCTTCAGGTCAGGCAATTGATTTACTGACAAGCATGATGGTCCTCGCTCTCCTGCAAGAACATCGCAAATGAGATCACTTTCATACTCGTAGTGCGAACTACAAGCATTCTTTATGTTTTGAATTGTTATCTCATCATAGATAAAAGGCACAAATTCCCTTGCTCCAACACGGGTATATTTCTGCGCCTTACCCGACACTTCAGCTGACAATCGCTGAACAATAATGTTTTCCTTGATATTTGATTTATCCTCATTCTTTTTACTCTTGTTTTTCACTTTACTTTTAAATTTTGCCCACTGGTTTGTTGCCATGGTCTGTGATGAGGTTGATATTTGAAAGTAGATGGAGGTCTTATCTTGAATTGTAATAGTTAATAGTTTTAACTCGTGCAATGTCTTAAATCATAACAAGGGCTTGAATGAGTCTTAAATCATAACAATGAATGGGGGCTGCCCTTTTGAATATGTAAGGGAAAGCAGCTATCAGACTGTTTGCATCATTCGGAACTCATCGTTTGGACTCACTCCACCAATTCATATTATGCCATATCTTTCCATGTTAAATACGACCTTCAATAACTTTTTCCAGAAATCTTGTTGATAATTTTCCAATATGTCGAATGAAAGCCTGACCATACTTAAGTGTCTCCTCTAAAATTCAACAAAGCAAATAGCATGACCATAAAAATTTCGAGATAGGCAAATCGAAAGTAGACCACTGTCAAAATAAAAACATCTGACATAAACATATAATTACGACTGGGTGATAAAGACTACATTAACAGTAGAAAAGGTACTGGATGACCACGACACTACTGCCTTCATAGGCTGCTATGAGGCTTTTATTTTCATTTACATTTGAATTGGAAAGTAAAAAAAAAAAATAAAAAAATAAAAAAATAAACAAATTTAAAGTAAAATGAAATGTAAAGTAAAATGAAATGTAAACTGACAGAAAAATGAAATGCAAAGTAAAATGAAACTAAAATGAAACTAAAATGAAATGCAAAGTAAAATGAAATGTAAAGTAAAAGAAAAATTAAATGTTGAATAAAATGAAATGAAAAGTAAAATGAAATTTCAAGGAAATATAGTTTATTTTATGAAAAAAAAACACTCCTGCCCTCATAGGCCACCATACAGCAGTTATAACTATATCCTTGTTACTTGATGTTTAAGACAGCTTAATATCAAGAAATATTTCAGGATTTTCAATTTTTATTAGGCCTCACTGATCTGTATATCAGAATAACCTAAGAAAAGTTGACTATACTACATCATTGTTTAAACAGTCAGTAAATGAGTGTAAAAATTCATTTAAAATTCAGTTATTACCAGTAAAAACTGGATAGTTTCAGGAATTACTTGTATTCCTAAATTTCAGTAATTACGTGTAATTCCTTATCTAAACTGTTCACTTTAACATTTGTGTATATATATATATATAGGCTGAATTCTATTGTACTGACCTATATTCCAGACTAATATCTGTTTATCAGGTGAGGTGTTCAGGCTACCTTGAGAAACACTTTGGTCAATAATAACAACTGAACCTCTGTAATATAAAATACATATTTTTTCACTATTGTGCATTCATTGACATATATTTCGGTGTTTTTGTGCCAGGAGGGCACCTAGATTTCAAGTCATATTTATTTTTTCAAATAACTTTTTTAACCACAGTTATGTTATGCAATTAAATATTTTAATTTTTCTCATGCTTATCTGGAGAAATTGCACATGCCAATGCCAAAAGAAGGCCAAAAAAACTTTAACACTTTGAAAGTGAATTTTAACCAAAAATATATAGCAAGTTCGAAACTTTTATCGAACCAAATACATTGTCCAAACACAACAATGACATTTATGCCCAATGGAATTATACCCAAGCACTGCTCATTTTGGCAGGAAAATCTTATGATCTTTGAATACACAAATATACATGTGCATCAAGGGTATAAAAACGGGTTGAATGGCATGTCGGTCTTACACAACTATAAAAAAAACACAAGAAGAAGGCCATGACTGACATGCAAGCTCTGGGAATGGTACAGACAGGAGACACCTATGACAATATCGCAAGAACCTTCGGTTGATCCTGTGTTACTGTAACAAACTTGATTCAACGTTCAGACAGAGAGCACATGTCAGACAGGCATAGAATGGGCAAAACAGGGTGACCACACCAAGTGATGACCTGTATTTGTGTAGCTTGCATCTCTATAGTGATGTTCCGGCGACAATTGATTATCGGTCATTGAAAGTCCAACGATATTACTAAATGATTCCTAACTGAAAGTCGTTGACATCGGCAAACAATATAAAAAGTCAGTCATGTTGTTGATAATAAAAAAAAAATTCTAATGATAAATTAAACTTAGCTTTTTATAAGATTCCGCACAGAAACAAATGAGGCATGTTTGTTACTATAAATAGTATCGTATTCACAGATTGTGCTGAATGAGGTATTAAACTGAAGTGGATAGCAGACAACATTTTGGGGAGGTAGAGAAGAACAGCACAGATACGGCTGGTCTATTGGCAAAAATGCATGCTTCATCAGTTAACATAGAAACACAACACTTCTATTTGTAACAATATAATAACAATTTATAAATATTCATTTTCGTAAGAAATACCCCAGCTTTAAAAATTATCGGTTAGTTTGGAGAATCTACTCGAGCAGCCGTAAAAATTTAGACCCGATGTCACAGGAATAAATATGACAAATTCAAGTATTTCATCACTTTAAAAATTACATTAGAGTATACAAAAAGCCATTATTGAAGAAATATTATAAAAAGTGGTCATGCCATGTAAGCCTATGTGAGGTATAATGTAACGACATTACCATTCAATATTATGGTGCCAACTTGGTTTTTTGTGATGTGATGTGCGTTATTTACACTGACAAATTTTTCAGATATACTTGAGTGTCGACACATTGCATGCAGATAAGAATACATTTAAGGTTATAGAAAGGCTACTACTGTTGTATTTATTTTTTGTACTAGTATCAAAATTACAATTCAAATATCAAAGTTAACTAAAAATACTAAATTAATAGCATGACTTCTACATCATTAAAACATAGGCTTGCAGCAAGTCTCGCAAGCAAATACGCCCACAAGCAGCTTGATAAAGAGCTAAATGTGAACTGTAAAACAAACTCTATATCCTAGCCTGTACAGTGAGCACGAGCCAAAAAAGTGAAAAAACGCGATATCAGAGTTTTATGCAATATCTCTCGAGAAAATCATCGGATCCTCACCAAATTCAATAGTGCACATCTTCATAATGATATTGACACACATACAAAAGATCAAAAGAATCCATAGAGAATTGTAGCCTGTAGAGTGAGCACAAGTCAAAAAAGTGAGAAAAAAAACAAACGTGATATCAGAATTTTATGCGATATCTCTCAAGAAAATCATAGGATCCTCACCAAATTCAATAGTGCACATCTTCATAATGATATTGACACAAATACAAACAATCAAAATTTTTTAAAATCAATACCAATAACCCGAATACAACAAACAATTAAATCACACAGCTCTAATCAAGGGCAAAAAACAACTTTTGACGAGTGTTTACAAAGTCAAGGACAATAACTCAAAAAACGTTCATCAAAAATATCTCAAGTTACAACTTGTCCGAGATTTTATCAATTCCCATGATCATACCAAGTTTCATAAAAATCAGTTGAAAACTGTAGCTTCTATTGTGCTCACAAACAAATTTTGATGAGTTGAAGGTTGTTGTGAGGAATGAAGACAGCAGCCTTTGTATTTATGGTTAATTTGTTTCCAATAGTCAGTGTGAATAATTTGTGATTGTATTTACTGCCTTATATACATACAATCTCCAATTTTGTTTTGCGATAATCGATTCAAGGATATGTTGCGCCAACACTAATTTATTTTGAAATTTTTGCAATTATGTTCTTGTGTAATATTGACAGTTGTAATGAATAATTGTCTTTTCTTTTTCAGGGTTAGTGTTAGTAAATTTTGAAGAAAAGTTAAATGGGGCAAGACTGAATATATAGAGAAAGCTGTTAAAATATTTTATTGCTACTAGATACGATGATAGATATTTACTGTAATGATTTTTATTTTGAATGTTTTGAGTTATTGAGCATGATATGTGAGGTGATTATTAATTGTAAATAAAAGTAAACTGTGGTGAAAACAATGTACGGTACTGTAAATGTGGAAAATGTGTGTAGGTATAATAGACTACAATTTACAGTATTTGATAGACTTATTTGTTTTTTACAAATTACACAATTTTAAATTGGACAGAGGATGTACACAAATTATCATTGATGAACTATACATGCATAGTTGAAATATTGTATTAAGTTATAAAAAAGCTATAAGCATTTCAAAAGTAATAATATCAGTTATCATATTTGGGATTACTTGTTTTATATTACTAATTCTTCTAATGTTTTTCTAGCCAATGCTCAGAGAATATTAATTCCAGCAACATATTGCATAAAGTCAATGAAACATAAGCAGCCCTTTAAGATCCTCTATTTATCATATTGTGAATGTTGCAATTTTGAAAAGATAATTTTTATTGTTGATGTTAGGTTGTGATATTTATTATGTATATTGAAAATTTTGAAGATGGTATTTATGTATAATAAAGATGATATGAAGTTGTTTTTTATAGCAGACTGGTTATGCGAGGAATGGTAATAGCAGTATTTCAGATTATATATTTCTATCTTTATATATTTTTTTTTAGTTAGTTAGTTATAAATTGAAGAGGATGTTTGAAATAGTTTATGGAAAGAAGCTAGTTTAAATTTTAGAAAATATATTTGATTTAAAATTGCAATACTACAAGACGACAATGGTTGATAATTTTGTTGTGTTTTTTATTAATGAGATCTGACTTGAGTATCTGACAGTTTCTTTGTTTTCACAAGGATTGTGAAGAATTGTATGTGCATTTTGGTTTTATAGGTTATGCAGATAAGTTCAACGGCTTTTGATGACAAAAGTGTCACATAGTATTTCTATAATATCACAATAACATTAAATTATATTTATGTATTATATTTGTAGACGTCACAGCTGAAGCATAAAGGTTAAATTGTAGATATGTTTAATAAGTATTCTTGTGTTTTCAGGTTACATATTAATTGAATTAAAGTGTGAGTAAGAAAAATAAAAAAAAAATTAGAAATTTATTCAAAATGAATAAACTAATAAATTTTTATTTACAGGTTGTGTCAGAAGAAAGAAGCACACAGATATTTAAGGGAATTGATCCACCCTTATCTGAAGTGATCAAAAAATATTTAAGGGAATTGATCCACCCTTATCTTAAGTGATCAAAATATATTTAAGGGAATTGATCTACCCTTATCTGAAGTGATCAAAAAAAAATCTTGTTGAAAAAAACTGTGAAAAAACCTTGTTCAAAACTTTGTGAAAAAACCTTGTGATAAAACTTTGTGAAAAAACCTTGTGAAAAAACCTTGTGAAAAACTTTGTGAAAAAACCTTGTGAATAAACATTGTGAAAAATATTTGTGAAAAAACCTTGTTGAAAACTTGTCCAAACTATTTGTCCAAAATACTTGTCCAAAACATCTTTCCAAAATACTTGTGCAAAACACTTATCCTGTTAAAAATTCCCTTACTTGAAAAAATACAGCAGTGAAACAATATGGGTCGTCCGAAAAAATCTAAAGCAGCTATTGTAGCTAACTTGAACAAGAAAAAAGTAAGTGCTAAAAATGAAACGAAAAATGAAAGTAAGGATGAATATGCTTCAAAATTAAACAATTCAAGTACATGCAGTGTTAAAAGTAATACGCATAATGTAAAAGAAGTGATAGTAAATGTGTCTGATGCCTGTGGTAAAATTTCATATGAAAAGGTAAAGATACCTGCTAAAAACAAAGAGAAAAATGCATTTAGTAATATCAGTAAAAAGGATAGTAAACAAAAGTTATCAATTGGTAACTGTAGAAAGAGGCAAGTTGAAAAGAAATGTATATCTGGTAACTTTCATCAAGGCTTTTTAGAAAGATACGGTTTTTTTGCTGGCAAACAATGTTTAGCTAATAGTCTTTTGTGTATTATTTACAGGAAAATTATAAATTTTAGATTATGGAATGGTTGTACTCTTGACAAAGTATTAGATCTTGGAAATGAGTATTATCAATATCTTCAATCTCAACCTAATATTCTACATGATTATATTATGGTAAGTGAATTAATAAGAACCGTGGAAGTCGAAGGTAAATACTTTGAGTTAGAAATCAGTGACAGTTCAGAAGTTGGAGTTATAGATGCTAACAATTATGTTGCTCAAGGTCTTTTCGAAAGTTTTCAAACATGTTTAAGTACATATGAGTCCTGCTTTGTGACATTTAATGGCAGTACGTTTGCTATAATGAAACATGATGATAGTTATTTTGTATTTGACTCGCATTCAAGGAACAATTTAGGATTATTATCAGATGATGGTTGTAGTATTTTACTAGAATATGATGATATCAATGATTTATATGTGCATTGTTTGAATTTAAGTGTATCAATGAATCTGAATAAATTAGAGCAGTATGAAATAACTGGTATAAATGTTATTATGATAGGTAATGAAACAAATGATCCAATTAATGAAATAAGTAACTCTGTTGATGATTGTGAAATTATGGAAGTTGATAATCCAATTGAATCAAGCAGTGAATTGATTGATAATGATACTGATGAGATTAATATAACTAATGTAGAAAGTAATGCATTCATATTTAATCCAATTAGATTAGAAAAAAGAAGAAAGTTATCTGAATGGCTCAATTTACGTTGTCATAAGTTAAAGAATGTTGATATTGCTGATGTTTGTAACCTTAAAAAACCTACTCAAATAACTGAAATAAATGGAGATGGTAATTGTTTGTTTAGAAGTATATCATTTGTTCTTTCTTTGTCCCAAATAAATCATAGAAAAGTAAGACTTGCTATTGTGAATCATATTGAATCAAATACAGATTTTTTTGAACCCTTATTAAGAGCATGTTATTGATGACTATTTAACAAGGTCTAGAATGACAACACAAGGAACATGGGGTACAGAATTTGAAATACTAGCAGCTTGTCATTTATTACAAACAGATATTTATATTTTTACTAATAATAAATGGGTGAAATATCCTGTATTACAGACTAATGACAGTTATACACCAGAAGCTATTTATCTACATCATAAGAATGAGAATCACTATGAAGTGGTTGAAGATGTTGAGAGAGAAGAACCAATAGTTATTGATGATAAAGAAACACAGTTATCAGGTAAAAGTAAATTTGTTGAAAATATATCTACAGTGATAAAGAGTTGTAAAAAGAAACGAGGTAATAAATGGTGTCAAAGTAAAAAGCGAACAACCTATTTTAAAGATTATAATGTAGATAAAAGAAAAATGAGACCAAAAATAGAATTAAATGTAAAACATGTTTTTCGAAGTAAGAAACAAATTGATGAAATGAATAGAAGACGTAGACGCTTGTTTCAATTTAGTTGTCGTAGATATAAATTAAAACAGAAATATATAAATGTTTTAAGAAAAGTTTTAAAGATCAAATATAGCACTGAATTTAAACCGATAATGCAAGTTAAATATGTAACTGAATTAAAACCAAAACTGGAACATAAATATATAACTGTATTTAAACCTAAAATGCAAGACAAATATGTAACTGTATTAAGAGCAAAATTGCAGCTGAAGTACAAGAATGAATTACGAATTAAGATTTTGAATAAATATAGAAACATGTATAGATTTAACAAGAGTTATAGAATAAAATTACAAGTTTCTCCCCTTGCAGGACAGTTATTACTATTAGCTCTGTGCAATGATGATCCACAATTAGTACAATGCTGATTTCCAGCATTGGAATGATTTCTATCATAGTTTTGAAAATATTGACCACCACTTGATTTTTGTCTTGGCACATAATTGTTTCCGTAGTTGTGACTTTGAGTTCTTTGCCTCGATGGCGCACCGTAGTTTTTCTTACGTACACCTTGGACTTTGTTTTGTTCTGACGTAATCACCAACTTTCAGATTCGTTTCTCTGGCATTTCTCCTCTTGTCAACATAAGATTTCATCTTATCTTGTCTTGAAGCGATATAAAGTGATCTACTTTCGATGTCTGGAGGAACCGGATCTGGAGGTTTTAGATTTTCTAAGGGTAGTTTTATTTGTCTTCCGATCATTAATTCTGAAGGTGATTTCTTGGTTAAGGAATGCGGTGTAGCTCTGTAAGTTCTAAGAATAAGACGTATAGCTTCTGCAAAAGGTTTACCATCTTGTAAGTGAGCTTTTAAACCTTCTTTGATGACTCTATTAAAGCGTTTTACACCACCATTACACATCGGATTATATCTAGCAGCAAGTCTATGTTTAATACCTTGTGATCTCAGATAAGTTTCAAACTCGTACGATATAAACGGTGGTCCATTATCAGTAATAATTACTTCTGGTATTCCCCATCTTGAAAATAAATTCTCCAAAGAGTCAATGATCACCTTTGAAGTTATTTTAGAACATTTGATTATTTCAGGCCATTTCGAATGTAAATCATGTATCACAAATAAAAATCTAGAGTCTTGAGGAGCGACTTGAACTTCTCCAAATATATCAATCTGAATGTCTTTCCAAGGAGATGTAGGCCATGGTATAGGTTGAATAGGAGGTTGAACGGGTCTAAGTGACTTTTCACTTAAAGCACAAGATTGACAGTTCTTTACAAAATCTTCAATTTGATGATCCATGCCGGTCCACCATACGGTTTCACGACAACGTTGTTTCATCTTAACTATTCCTGGATGTCCTTCGTGAGCCATAGTTAAAACTCTTTCTTGTAGACTATCAGGAATCACAGCACGACAACCTCGAGAGACACAAACATTATCCCAAATTGACAGTTCACCCCGTAGACGATTGTAACTCATTTGCAACAATTTTAGGCCACCCATTTATAAGAAAATTTCGAACTTGCAAAAGATTATGGTCAGTTTCTGAAGCACGTTTAAGTTCTTCTCGAGTAACTAATGAAAAATCAATTTCTAAGACGGTAGCGGAGTCTATTTCCTGAATCTGCTGACTATTCGGATTATCGATAACTAATCTACTTAACATATCAGCTACTAAGTTTTTCGAACCCATCACATATTCGATTTTAAAGTCATATTGATGTAAGCGATCTGACCAGCGGTAAATACGCAAAGGTTTGTGACCCGAACCTGCAGTTGCTAATAACGTAGTTAATGCTTGATGGTCAGTTCGTAGAGTGAATTTTCTACCATACAAATATACATGCCAATGTTCACATGCTAAAATACAAGCTAAAGCTTCTCGTTCGCCTGTGGAATATTTTCTTTCAGCTGAAGATAATGTTCTTGAATAGAAAGAAACGGGACT